GGGGGGAAAAAAAAAAGTCAAATGGGCAAGGCCCCCCATGGGAAAAAATTTTTTTTTTTTTTTTAATTGGGGGGAAAAAAAAAAGTCAAATGGGCAAGGCCCCCCATGGGAAAAAATTTTTTTTTTTTTTTTTTTTTTTTTTTTTTTGCTTGCTACCTACATCATAGAGACAGAAAAGTCATTTTGTTTACAGGAGCTGAAGTGTTGGCTGATCTCATTGGTTAATCTGAAAAAAAACCTCACATTTACAACCAGTCTAAAAATAATACTTTCACTTGTTTAGTCCAAATTTCAAAACTGTTAATATAAATAAGACTTTTTACAACACAAATAAACTCCTAACTCTTGTCTATATATATTTTTTGTGTCTGTTTATTTGAGCTGGTGCCTGTGTTTCTTCAATATTAAAGATTATGTCCACAGCCAATGCTGTTTCAGAAAGGATCAGAAAGGAGAAAGGCAACTAGCGGATCACCCTTTTCCTTTTGAACAGTGGAAAAGGGCGATCTACTGATCATCCTTTTCTCTGCTAGAGTGATGAAAAAAATGCTTTCAATGTTTAATAGACTGGCATAAATAGATTCAGCTGCAATGTCCGAACATGAGTGTTTTATAGAAACCGGGGCAGAATGTGCACACTGGGCCTCTACAGCAGGGTTGTGCATATGGCTAATGGCTAATAACCAATTCACATAAAAGCCAGAAACACTTACAAGAAAGTCAGACCTACATGTGCCATAACACACACTGGTTTCACTCCGCTGCATCATCTGTCTTTTTTTCATATACACGAAAGCTTCTGAAGGCCAAGAACCTAGAGTAGAAATTAACATTCAAACATATGGAACGCGGATTATGCAAGAAAAGCAGAGATGAAGAAACACAACCTTGCTCTGGTTTTTCAAAGTGAATCAAGTGATCAGTGGTAAAAAACACAAAGTATAGTCTGTGGTAAGAGAACATCCAATGCTCATTTTACCAGACCTTCACACAGAGAAACTTGTAAGAAATAACAGATATTTTATTTGGCTCACAATTTATAGAAAAAATAAAGATAAAAGTGGTCACAACTTTATAAGACACAAATATTTTAATGTAAAAGAAGGAAAGACTAAAACTGAGGACTTGGCTGGCCTGCTAATAAGCAGCTGCAGACTCACCTTGCAGGGGAATGAGATGCTGCCCATCCATATAGTCTATTGCTGGCCCAGTAAATAGTCTTGAAATGTATCTCTCATTGCCCACTTTTCATGGGACAGTAGTTGAACATGTTCCTCTCTGTGGTTCTGAGTCCATGGTGACCAAAGGCAAAGGGGCGGAGCTTCAGGGCAACTGCAACTGGCCTGGAGAAATTAGCATAAGCTAGAACAGGTGTGCCCACCAGCCTGGCTTGTATCTCTGCTAAGCCTTATCCACAATCATCTGACCAATGGTTACCTAACTGCTGTTGCCACTGATAACCCCAGCTATCAGCTATTAGCTGTTGGCTGCCAATTTTGCAAAGCCTTCAATAAATCATCTATAGTAGCTGACAAAACCCCAGAAAGGATTGCACCTCTGGGACACTGGTTGGACAATCCTGAAGAATTCACTTTTTTTAGCCTCTCTTTTAGTCCATCTTGTTCAGGTGGCTTCATCACAGTTTCCAAACGATGCAAACATTCATGGACTGAGGAATGTTTGCATTCCTCAGTCGATGAGGAATGCGGTCAGTCAATGGAATGAGGAAAGGAGAAACTCAAGAGGAAAGGAGAACCTCAAGGTCATCCAAGAGACTGACAATTTTGAGACCCAAACATTTGCTCCATTAGTCGCTGAAACGTGTTGGGGCATTGCAAAGTCCAAATAGCATTGTGTTAAATTCAAACAACTCAAACGGCTTACAGATGACAGTCTTCATCTCATTAGGTTAGCCCACATTGGCCTGGTCACCACCACTAGTAAAATCAAAGGTGAAGAACCACCCTTGACAGAGTGCCCAAAGGTTCCTCAATTCTTGGTAGAGGAAAGGCACCATGGCAGGTCTTATGGTTAAGTTACTTGTGATCAAAACACAGGGGGTTACTCCGCTCCTTCTTCTTACCAACGATGAGGGAACCATTGGGGCTGCAGCTCTCTGACCACCAGGCTGTTTAACAGCTGCCAGTACACCATACTCTGCCCATACTATGTATGAGGCACATTAGCTATCACTGTACAGCCCTGATCAATACCCTGAGGAGAAAACACTCCCTCATACTTCTTCCTGTGCTGATCTCAGTTTTGAAGGGCTAATTGATCTTTATAACTTGACATGTTCTGACATTCTGGGCTCTGCTGCTCCTCTGAGGCCTAAGTGAGCCAAACCACCCAATCAGCCTTGGCTGAATGAATCCTCTCTTGCTCTTCCAGTGTACAGAGAAAAGATGGAAGAACAAATTCCAAGTGTCAAAACAAATTCTTCATGGCTGTTTATCTACATATCAGAGGAATGTGAAAGCTCTGATATCTAGCTAAATCTGCTTTTTATGGAGTGTGATCTTTGTTAGTAGTCTCAAACCTCAAGTTCTTTTTAATGATTAATCCCTGTGACACTGTTTCCATGGAGGCCATAAACATCGTGACACTTTCTTGGATCACTTTGTAGGAAAAATATGGATGCTAAGGTCTTCTCAGTCTCAGTCTGTTTTAGATAGTTCTGTGCTCTCTGATTGCTCTGCTGTTTTTCATCAGTTTAAACAAAATGTTTTGTTTCTTTTATTTGAGACCTTTCAATTTCCCACAAGACTTCCCTTCCCATCTTTTCGATGAGACCCTTCATGTCATTCTACTAGCATTTTAGACATTTTAAACACCTCTTCATCATCTGGCTGTGTACCAGTTGTATTCAAGCATGCAGCCAGTCATCAAAATGAAGAATCTTGATCTTTATGTTTCTTTGAACTGCAGGCCACCTTCCAGATTACAAATTACTCTTATCCAACCAAGATTTTGGAAAATGCTGATTTTTTTTAGTTAGCCTTTTTAAGGACTGAAAAAAGTTGTTAGTCTCAAAGTTTTGGTTTTCCCTTTCAATTGGCATGTTTGTGACCCACTGCAGTCTCTGTTAAACAGTTGACTGGGTGTTAAAGAATGGTTAACTCAAAACTATCTGACCCTAATGACAACAAAACCAAAGTTATTGTGTTTGATGATCTCACCTTCCGATTCAAACTGATTTCCTTGTCTCCCTTAACAGTCCATTGCTCCTCCATTGTCAGGAGTCTCTGAATCTTTTTAGGTAGTTCCTTGAAATTTCAGAAAGCGTCCACAGTATTCAGGATTTTCTTGTATCACCAAATTACCCAAGATAAATCTTACATTCTTCCTAAAATCCTTGAAAATCTTTTACATTAATTTGTTATCTCTAGATTAGATTACTGCAACTCATATTATGAACTGGATCAGTCGACTCTCCACTGTCTGGCTTTCAATTTTTTTGCTCCATCAGACCTGTTTGATTGTGACATTGTTATCTCCAGTTTTTTACGGTGTTAGTTTGTGCTCAGGGGTGGGGGGAAAGGGGAGCGTGCCTGGCAGCCTCTCCTCTGTCAGACTGCCCCAGGGCCGCTGTGGCTACTATCAGGTAGCTTGGTACCATTAGTGTGTGAATGTTTTTCAAACAAAGACAAACATTTCTGTGCCAAACTGTTTTCATTGATGTGACATGCTTTTCTTTAGAGAAACACATGCCACAGTTTTTGATGTTATTCTTTAGTACATTAAGGGTGCGTTCAGACTGCACCCTGAAGTGACCCAATTCCGATTTTTTTTTACGTAATGCGACCTGTATCCGATCTTTTCATGGCAGTGTGAACAGCACAGGTCGGATTCTTTTTCGAATGTGACCCATATCCGATACGTATCTGATTCAAATACGACCTAAAGTTCAGGTAGCATTCATCCGAACTGAACGTCACTGATTCTCAACAAATCTCACTATTCTGCGTCCTGATACGCGCAAGCGGGAAGAAAAACAACAACCATGATGGATTATATGAGGATTAAGTTGTTAATATGCTGCTCCAGTTGGACAACAACAATATGTAAGCTAAGCTCCACCGTTAGCCTCCATGTTTACTTCCGCAAACACTGAGCACTTCTTTTTATGGCGGTTGGCAGAACACTGAGAACGCTGACGCTATTGCGCCCTCTACTGCACATGCGGGACACTTTCAGGTTGTTTGCCCGTTTACACTGCAGAAGGCATACAGGTCGCATTTACTGGCAGTGTGAACGGCCGTGGCAAAAAAATCGGAATTGCCAAAAAATCGGAATTGGGTCACTTCAGGCTGCAGTGTGAACGCACCCAAAGTATGTACAAATACTGAAGCTCCAACTAAACCTTTGTCAAAACATCACATGAAATCTCTGACTGTTGTTTTTCATGGACAAGCAATTTCACTAAGTTAGAAATGAATACATCTACCGTTCAGTCGCTGTTGACAGTGTCCATTAGATTATTGGGGTTATTACAGGGAATGCTTGAAAAGATTGCCTTGAAACAGCAGAAAATTACTCTCCTACATGAAAGATTTCAGTTACTTTGAGCGATTGGCTCACACATAAGGTCGAACTGCTTTCAGGTTTTCAGTCTTATGACTAACAGTAGGTTTCACAGTTTCAGTTTTCCTCATCAAGTCACCTGACTTCTGTGATGTTGACATTCCTCTGTGCTTTCTTTCGGCTATACACAACCCCCTCTGCCCCTGATATATGAAGCACCATGGCACTTGGTGCACAGTGAGACCAAATGATTGTACGTCAAACAACTTTCAGTTTGTAGGACAACCTGCAGCAATGTTATCCAGAAGATTATGCTGACTCTAAGGAAACAGACAGCAATTTTTTTCATTGTTTTCAATGATTTATTGCTTTTTTGAATGACTGTAATACTCTATGTGACGATACAAGGCTACAATATGTGCAAGTGACTGTGTTCATAGTAATGTGATGAAAGTTATATGTTAGTTAAGCATTTTAATTTGATAGGAAATATTTGATATCTTGGTGGAAAACAGGCTGGGGCATAAAGGAAGAGCAGCAGGAACGTTTTCCTCAGCTATATTGATAAGGGTTTTATTATTTTTTTCTTTTGATTGAATTATTTCATCCAAAAATACAGCATGATACTGAAAATAATAAGAACATGCATAGCTCATTATTTATTTTTTACACAGAAGTAAGTCATTGGCTGCATTTAGTGTAACATTAAAGAGGTTCTGGCTTCAGATCAGTGCTGATATTGAAATGTTTTCCAGGCTATGTATGAGGCATAAGTCTGATCATTTATCATTTTAATTGTGGCTGCAATTAAAATGATAAATGTGACTAACTTTGATTGGTTAGGATTACACAGCACTACATTACAACTAAACTCATGGTCACAGCTTAGTTTGAGCATATAAAGATGCCGAAACATATCCAATATGTCGATTTACCTTTTTGCCATTTCTCGTTGGAGAAAGGAGACATTTTATCTAGATAAATTTATTTTATACTACAATGTAATATAATATTGACTGGGGCATACAATCAGCTGAAGAATATTTATTTTAAAGGCAGCCACCACTGTCACCCAGGAGAGTATGTGCATGGTTTTGATTGTTTTCTTTCAATACCAGCCACAGAAAATGTGCAGATGGAGAAGAAATCTGAAGAACTCCACACCATAGCAGTGCATGATTGACTGATAATAATTCATGATGACATGCAGGAAGCCATGCTGTTTTGAAGTGGTGTTATGAAAGTATTTTTGGACTCAGATTTTTCAGTTCCATGTGGCCTTTTGTTTTTCACTAAGATAAGGTTGATAAGCTAACCTTATCTTAATTAGTAATTTATTTGACTATTTCTTCAGAAAATTAGATACTGTTCAGTTTTCAATTTTTTGTTTGAGACGGTCTGTAGAGCACTGTTGATATTAATTTGGATGAAAACTGTTTAAATGCTTAGAATGTTAAAGAGAAATCATTAGGTAATAAATCATCTTTACTTGTTGAGCAAAACCATTTTCCTCCGAAGTGCAGGAGAGGTTCTCCATGTCTGTTTTTGAAGGTTATTTTATGCCAAGGTGTAGTTTAATCTAGCATTTGGTGTCATTTTTTCCTCTTTTACCAAACCCATATCAAACTGGGACTTCAAAGCAGAGTGTGTGTATCCTTACGGCCCTGATGCACTGGGTCTTGCAAATCAAATGTTCTGGTTTACAAGTAGGAAAACTGAACCCATGGACATACTGAGAACATTTGTTATACTTTATGATCACACAACCTTTGACTGGGAGAAAGTCCACCAGTCTTTAAAAGATCACATCTATGAGTCCATTTGAGGTTGGCAGTACAATGAAAGGCTGCTGCTCAACCACAAAAATCTTACTCTGTAGTTGTTTTATTACTACTCTGGCTTAAAATAACTTAAAATGTTTAGACTTTTGTTACATTGCTGAATAATAACATCAAAACAAATCTTGTCAGGTTTGTGTTGGTCTGTAATTAGCTATGTAAAATATCCAAGAACAATAACATGGAAATATGTCCCTGATTTCTATGTTCGATTCAACTGTTTCTGTGGTTTTAATAACAAAATGAGTATTTTGGTTGCTATATTTGCTTTAACAAATCCAAGTAGATTGCATTGGTAATATTGCTGACAGAGCAGCCATTTTCAAAATGACATAAAAATGAAGAGGAAAACAGAAAGTGACTCATTTTTCTTGTTTCTTCCCAAGTTGGTGTTCAGATGCATTTATGAAGTATTCCTTCTTTCTTTTCTTTTTTTCAGTTTCTTTTTTTAAAGATAAAGATTGCATATGAACAATCAAAAGCAATTTTTAAAGTTCGGTTTAAACAAAATGAACTTCCATCCGGTATCCTGCACCAGAAATATGTGGCTCTGCATCTCAGCATGATTTAAAGATAGAGATATATAAAAAAAAGAAAACAAAAACATTCACAGGTTCCGTCCTGTTTAAAAGCCTGTTCTGTTGTCTGAAACATGCAGTCCAGTTCTCTATTTTTCCTGCTCTATCACCTCTCCACCTTCTTTCTCATCTTTTTTTGAGGACAGCTCTGCGTTTCCCGTCCCAAAGTCCAGCACCTGCAAGTTGACGAGGTGGGCGAAGGAGCTCTCGTCTACAGAGTCCACAGACAGCCGGTTAAACCTTGGAACAAAAGACAGGAAGGACGGTTTAGTTTGTAAAATTGGCACTTCCTCTGCTGAAGCCGAAGGTCTCACTTAGCAGAAGAACTTAAATTTACAGATCTGTCGGGTGATGCTGGTCCAGAATCAGTTCGGAAAGGTGCAAATTGTGAGCATCTCTTACAACTGTTGAACAAAATTAGTTTTTGTTGTTCTGCACTATTTACTCACTGAAGTGTTGACTTGAGTTACCTCAAAGTATTTTTAAGGAATGTATGAGATCAATTCCATTTACTTGCATGTGTAGAAACCGATTACACAGCCTATCCATGAGTTTAATCATCCATCACCAAGTGATTTCTGTGATATTACAACATTTATTTCCATTTCCCTCCTGCAAACACTCCAGTTGGTACAGACCATGTGCTTAATACTGCAAGTGGAGGGAAACAAGGGGAGAGAACTGGAGCAGCAGCTGATATGACAATAATGCCAAACCTGCATCCCGAAAGGGGTCAAAGCTCATAAGCGTAGCTATAAAGCAACAAGGTTAAGGTCACACTGAAACCAAACCAGAACAAATACCTTGAAAGCACATGTTCAAAACCTCTTAACTCCTGTCTGACCGCTGCTTTCAGCTGCAGGGCTTGTGGCGGTAAGCCCGCAGTACGTGGAATAAACCAAAGTGGAACATTTTCTGAATGCACTCAAGTTAGTGGAGTTGGAGAGATTAGATCCCGTGTTGCGGTACTCTACAAAATGAAGCTAAGTCCGAATGCGCAACAGACAGTGCTTTCTTTTGATTTGCGACAGAGCGGCGCACACAGAAGGTCGTCCATGTGAGGAAAAATCTCATTTCATTAACACTAAAACCAAAAACAGCTCCAGAAAGGAAAATGGTTCCAAGTGTAAACGCTGAATGTTGTAGATCTTACAAATAAGTGTTGAATTATTTGTAAGTTGACAAATAATTTATTTTATCCAGATAGTGGATTGGATTCATTATCTGGTCTATCTAAGTTTATAATTCAGAAAGCACCAATGACCTGCCAGCGGAAACACATCCATGAGTTGAGATCAAAGGTGAACAAATAGACCAGGGAATGAGAACATTAGTGCAGATATTGTGTTTTTAATTACTTTTTGAAGCATGCAGATGCGGCCATGTTTCAGGTTCAACACATACAAAACTCAATGGATTTGAGTGAGAAAGGTTAAGGATGTTTGTGCGTCTCTTACCGAAGGAAGATGCCTTTAATGTTTGGAGTGCCTTCAAACGCTGAAGCAGGAACACTGGAGATCCGGTTGCTTTGCAGGTAAAGATACTCCAGAGACTCAGGAAGGTCTGATGGGATGTGTGTTAGCTGGTTACCAGAAAGGTCTAGTGTCTAAAATAATAATAATAAATACATCATCAAAAAGGAACATAGCAAAAGAAATTAATGTTACTCATATACCACTATCACATGTAACCCATTCAGATGGATGGATGGATGATAAATGATAGATGGATGGATGAATGGAGGCAATTTCTGCATCATTTTTTATTTTTATTTTTTTTTTTTTTGCATTTTGTCACACTTGAAGTATGTAATTTTTCTAAAAATATTTTTAGCATATTTTGTACACCTGTCAGTATGCTGTGACAGTAGATCATAAGACAAATGATCTGTGAAAAAAAAATCAAGTTCCTCTACCTTGTCCTACTGTAGTCAAAAACAACCAATCAGAGCCAGGAGGAAGGTATTAGCACTGTGAATTAACATTTCAGTAACATTAAGTTTTTCAGCAACTTAATGTTACTGAAAAACAGTTTATCTGCCAACATCAGTGACTATGCTAACTAGCCTAGCATTCATGGCAGGCTCTGGTGAGGGAAACTAGCTGTAGCATAACAGAAACAAGGGGCAGGGTGTGAGTAGTGCATACACGAGCATGATTCTGATTGCTAGGTTCTGAAGCGGTGCATCTCTGCAGATCTGATGACAAGGATGGAGGCAATGAAGCTCAATTTTTTTCACAGATTTTTTTTCACAGTCTCATTTAAAAGAAATAATATAAATAAAAATAATCTATTGCAAGTTTTAACCTTCTATGTTAAGGTAATAGACTAGGGTTACAAGACCTGTTACTAAGCATAATCTGACCAGTATCTCTACAGGTCACTCACTGTGAGTGCACTTAGCTCCATCCAGGCTCCTTGGTAAGCTGAGTTGAGTTTTAGTTTGTTGTCACTCAGGATCAACTTCTGCAGCTTCTGCATTCCTGCCAGGGCTCCATATGGTATAGCACTGAGCTGGTTGTTCTTGATCTCCAGAACCTTCAGACTGTGCGGAAGGCCCAGGGGTATGGCATGAAGGGCATTTCCAGACAGGTCCAGAGTTTCCAGTATGCGCAGCTTTCTGAAGGCGTCACGGTGAATCTTTGTGTTGGTCAGTTTGTTGTAGCTCAGATTGAGCTCAGTCAGGGTATACAGCAAAGACAGGTCATTGCGGCCAATTTCAGAAACAAAGTTGTGGAGCAGCATGAGAGTCTTGGCTCGCCGAGGTAAGCCTCTGGGAACTCGTTCCAGCAAGTTATTATACAAATGAAGAGTGTGCAGCTTCTTCAAACCCTAGGAGAAATAAGTAATTCAAATGAATGAAGAGCACTGCTGCTATGCAGTGCATTTGAGGATTTGCACTGCCATTACACATTTGTGAGTAGCATCTAATATATGATCAACGTTTCCTTAAAGTACCTGGAAGGCCATTGGGTGTATAGAGCGGGAGCGCAGCTTGTTATTGTGTAGAAGCAGGTATTCAATGTTCCGTACAGAGATGAGAGCGTCTCCAGGAATGCTGCGGATGGCGTTCTTCTCCAGGTGCAGCAGCACCAGGTTGCGAGGCAAACCCTTAGGAACAACGCTCAGGTTGTTATTTGACAAGTCAAGATACTCAAGGCTACTCAGCTGGCTGTGGAAACAGAAGAGGAGGGAAATCATGTTTTCGATTCTGCACTCTGTAATTTAACACTTTATGTTTTTTGTGACTTCTAGGTGCTTCACAGCTACAGAGCAAATTCCAAGGTTTGCATTTAAAGATGCTTGAAATGCACACTGGGAGTTGTAAATAGTAATAAAAACAAATTTTGTCCAAGTAGGATCAAGGGATGATGTATACCAGGAGACTTCAGTTACCCCTGCAGCTTTAGCTAAATGTACTGGCAGTTAACCAACTACCAACTACCGTTCAGACCACCAAGTGGTAAGTTTGCTGAAGTGGAATATATCGATTCTATTGTGTTTATGGTGACAGTGGAAGAAACGTTAAGAAACTGCACAGTTTATTAAATCCTTGTTCTATAGAGCAAAGATAAATGTTGACCAAAATGTTAAATATCTGCAGCTGGTGGTTATAATTTTACAAGCAGATCAGTTCATTTTGGATCAGGTAAAGTCTTTTGCCCAGCAGTGCTGTTCATTTAGGAAGATCTGAGATCTGATGATCACATTACCAAACCATTCACAGTACAGACTCCCTCTTGGAATGCTGTGGACTTGTTAGTTGTGTAAATTTTGAGGTATGATCTATTTGTGTTGTGTGAGACACTTTTGTGTTCTTTATTTTAGTTATGAAAATACAAAGTGAAATATTTTAATTACTTTGTTTTGTGACTAAAATGTTAAGTGCACCTGAAAGTCTCGTTGTCCATCCCATCATTGGTGAGGAGGTTGTTCTGGAGATAAAGCTCTCGAAGGTTTCGCAAGTCCTCAAAGGCCCCTGTTGGAATTTTCTCCAGCCTGTTACTCTGTAGCATGAAATAAATATTTTTTGATCAATAAAATGATATGCTCTCCACAACCTTTGGCAGAAAGTGGCTGGATTGGGGCAAATGAACTAAAACTCTATTGGCATGAAGTCAGTCATGATCCTGCCAGGCTCAAGTACTCAGCAAGCAAAGTTTCTCCAGTTCACATCACTACTGTGTCTCACTATGACGATCCCACCAGATCATGCAGGAACATGCAAGAAGATTTCCCTCCACGTTAACACCGTGATGAAGTAGCTTTAGCTTCAGGCCAGTAGGGCTAGTCCTGCTTCAAACATTTAACAAAAGTCCACTTGTTCAATCAGACATCAAATCTTTATCATGTCTTTTTTTTTTAGGTAAAATGTCTCAAAGGGTTCAAAACACTTGAACTTACAACAAATAAAACAGTAATAATAACAATAAATAAGCAAAATATGAAAAAAAAATCATTAGAATTGATTAAAGCTTTCTCTTTGTATCCAGTTCCAAACATTTCAGGTTCTTTTTAAATAAAAATTATTCCAGGAAACATCTGCTGCATATTTACGGGCATTTTTCCCTAATTCTGTTCTGCTTGTTTAACAGATGTTTCTAAAACACAGTCAGAGCGAATGATTACTAGCTGGTGTTTACTTAAAAGCCCAAGCACAGATAAACTCTGGATCTAAAAAGTTTACAGGACCAAGATAAACCTGCCAGATTTTTAGGATGTGAATAAAAACCAGACAAAATTATGTCATCGTAAGTCTTTTTATTCTGACGTATTAATCATGTTAAATATCCACTGATGGGAAACACCTGGTGGCTTCATCAGGAAAGATATTCAAGATTTTAAGAGAAGAGGAAAAAATGTGATGTGTTAACACACAAGGAAATGAGCAGAAAAGGAACAAGAAAAAGAAGAAGAGTACAAGAAGACGAAGAAGAACAATAACGGGAGGAAACGACATAGAGGCAGGAAACAAGAAGTGGCTCCGGACACGGCTTCAGGATTTGATTTGACTGAGATGGAGTCCTGAGTTTTTAAGTGTCTTGTTCTGCATTTTAATTACTGTGTTGGTCATATAATGTTTTAGAGAAACATGAACCCCAGCTGGCTCATACTAAGAAACTTCTACATACATTATATAAATAGACAGAATCATTTTTCTTACTGTCTGATATTAAATCTGTCTATAAGCATCAATAAAGATTGCTATAATTATTTTTATTTGCAAATGTTCTAAATAACTAGAAATATAATTTTCTTAGTTATTTTTATGTTCCTTGGGTTTCCCACTACAAGCTTCTCACCAGGGGCGGATCTACTGGGGTGGCATGGGGTGGCAGCTGCCACCCCA